CATATCTAGTTCTTATATTTTTTACTTTCTGTACTCGACCAACCGAGGATTTTAGATCATGAGAACGACACAAAAATACACATCGATAGACTGTGTTTGTTCATAATGATATGCATGCATCACAGTGTATATGGCTAGCAACTACTAAAAAATCAAGAAATAATGCAGTTATCTGGGATTTTGTCGATAATGGTAATCTATTAAAGTATAAAACCTGGTTGTTCTAACCACCAAACGCTACTCAGTCGTAATCGGTGCAGAAACTTGCGCTACACTTTGTGTCTGTTGTGAACACTGTAATGGTTCATGTAAAAAGTGAAGTCAAAACATCGTCGTTATTACGACATTCAACTTTATTCTTTTAATATAATATCAATATTAACATAGATATTGGAAGATTCTGCCTATTAAACAATACGACATTTCCGATTTTAGTATCTTAAACTGCAGACGTTTTTGGAACAAACTATCCTTAAAATTATATATTCAACCTATCAATTTTAACACACTTTAAATTTTCAAAAAAGAATTCACAAAGAATAACATAAGCAATGGATACATTCACATGTCGGTGACATGAATTTCCCACTATAGTGGAATGAAAAAGCTCATTGTTCGATAGGAAAAAAAAATGTGGAATAATAGAAACTTAATCTTAAAATGGGGTTCTTGCTAAAAACATTAAAATCTCGATTACAACACTGTGACCATATAACCCACAAATTCACTACGCTTCGCGGATTACCTTTGCGAGTGGTAACCCACTAACCCAGCTAGGTGATACACTGAGCGTTTCCAGACCGGAGATAGAGGGATTGTGGTAGCCTACGTGTTTAGGATAAGTACATACCGTATAGAATAAACGACCGGAATTCTAGTGTGGATGTTATTGTTTTTATGGTGAAAGTGACAACACTCAAGGGAAAATATGTGATATTGATGACAGTAAAGAATAAAGTGTATATAAGCGAATGTTCATTTTAAATGTTGATACGATTAGAAAGCTATCCCACTGTTTTATTTATAATTTAATTTTCATAGTATAATTGTACCTATTGTTCCAATTATCTAGATTTAATTATTTCAATCACAGGAAGTGAGTTATATCAATTCTTTTAACATCATGGTTAATCAAAAAAGGACATTATCTTGTTGAAAATGGGAATGGCCTGGTCGCCTACGTAATCCGTTCCTGCTTTGCAGAATGGAATTATAAGTGAATCTGATTTGGTGGGCCCGCTCGTCTCAAAAACAGTAAATATATTTGCAAATATGTTATTACCTTATCGACAACCGTGTTGTCGGTAATTATTACATTATCGGGTTCAATAACCTCTATTATGTGTTTAATAGAATTTGTGATGATGATTATTTAGTTAATGTTCGTAGTAAATATGGCGGGATGTTACAATTTATCAAGTGGAATGTCAATGATAATTTGTGTTACAGTCTGGTGCATCTTTTAATGTTTTAAACAGAAATGATTCCGAAATTATAAGTTATAATGTAATAATTGAGGGAATCATCACAAATGTATTTACATACGGAAAACAGAAAGTAGATGTGCTCGGTAATGTTAGCGTAAATTTTGTTTTGGGTGGGCGATTCGAAAATCTGAAATTAATGGTTGTCAATGCTGAAAATTGGGTTTAGCTAAATTGTAAGTTTCAGTCCCAGAGATGTAATTTTTTTGGATTCGACTTTGACAAGAACGGCATGCATTGTAACAATAATCGTATAACAAGTATTCGTGAGCTAAAACGACCAACAAATGTTACTGATGTCATTGTCATTGTTGGGAATGTGGAGTTTCCCATCCATGATGGTGCGCCAATTTAGTACGTTGCCCGAATCAATTAGATGACAATTAAATTCTATTCGTTTGTTCGGTACTTTTAGGTATTTGACTGACTGATGATGCAAGTCCTCAGTGCGGTTTTGCAACAAGTAGCTGTGCGAGTAGAGCACTTACGAAACCAGTTACAGTCATATTGAACGAGAAGCTTTGGCAATTGTTTGAAAATACGAAACATAACCGGTTAAATATTGATTGATCACACGAATTCACTATTGAAATTTAACATAAAAAAAGAATTGCATAAAATAAAGTCGAATATAAAAATTGACAAAAAAGTTCGATTTAAACTAATAATCTTTCTGAATCCACGCGATTACATATGATCGCGTTACGCCCTTCTTCTAACCATTGTAGTAGAAAAAGAACGGATGAACACGTTTCTGTTTTATTCATAAACATGCGTCGCCTTGTGCTGTAACGATTCAGAAATTCAATCAGCGACTCAAAATTACAAAACCTTGATGTTTGTTATTCAATGTTAGCAGACCCATTGATGGCGTAAAGTGCCACATAATTGTAATTGGGAATTCGTGGAAATATTCAAACTAATTATGAATGAATTGTGCTTTATGAACAGTGTGCGAACTGAAAGGATCACAAATTGTCAATTCCATTCAAAGTCAAATAGTTTTTATATCTGTCGAGGGTCTCCTTGGTGCTTTTAAAACCAAGGCATTGATGAGAATAAATGTATGATTTCCTGCAATGGAAGCTTTCAATTGGCTTACTGCACGATATCAGATTCTTGTGGCTGTCACTTTAACACTGATTTGATAACCGAAGAACCATCATTGAAACTATCACAGTTACATACGGTTTGGTGCGAAGTTGCAACTTGTATGGTTCCAGTTGTAATTAATGCACATTCAAGATTCCGGAAATAGAAATAACACATGCAACTAGCCTTAGTGACGTGAAAAACAGTACACAGCATATTCACTTCATACAGATATCCGACTAATTTGAGAAGAAAACTATTTGAATATAAATATATATCTGAACCGTCCAAAATGAAAGAAAAACCAATATTTAAAAAAATAAGAGGTAGTCTCTAAACCATGTACTCTCACTCAAGCAAGAGAAGAGACATGTTGGTGAACTAGCCTTGCACTGTGAGTGTTTTATTGTTTGTAGTCTGTAAAATACCAGATTTTTCACAAATAAAACAAATTATTTTTTTGGACACCATTTCATATTAATATTTTACAATCCATACCATTGTATTTGAATCTGTTTCAAAACATTTGAAAAAAAGTATTTTGGAAGCATAACAACACATCGACAAGATTTGGTAAATTAATAAAGCTTATTCAGAATACCATTTATTCTCGACATCATATTCAATGGCTAGTTCTCAAGATCTACAACAGTAATAAATAAATAAACAGAAATCATTTTGATGCCATGTTTTTAGAAGGCACCGCCATATCAAATTTCGATTTGGTCCATACTATTTCGAGCTGCAGGGTTTCTAAACAATGACTCAACAACCAATAAACACATCTTCCACCCACCACGAAAATTGTAGCCATAATTGAACAACAACGAAAGCAACAAATATCAGGCTGCGTCCGGATGCGTCGGAATTAACACAAACAACAGATTCAACTAAGTTATGCAACCATCTTTATTCATCAAATCAAGTTGTATTACAATATGCAAA